TCAAAAGGAACCCGAGCGAGAAAATACAAACTTAAATATTTATTTTTTTTTCAAAAAGAACATGGGCGAGAAAAGAGGAACCTAAACATTTAAATTCTTTAACTTTTTCTGTATATAACTAAGTTATTATTATAATAAAATTTTGCTTTTAACAAAGGATAAAACAAAATGAAACCCTAAGCGACTCCAGTCCTTGTATTGAACAATGGGACCGACAGCTTGGCAATTTATGTGTGTATTATTCTTTTTAAAGAGCGAAGGAGGAGGGAAGTTGTTTGCTCTGGTAAAATGATTTTTTAATAAATAAATTCAATGGGCCAAGAAATGCACATACATGTATCGTAATCACAACAGCTGCATTGTATTTGATTTCCTGTTGATATTTATCCTTTCTGTGTGTACTGTGTACTTCCATTTTCCATGAAATACGATATTTCATAAAGATTAGAATCAAATATCAAGAACACATACATACATACAATCAAACGAAAGAAAAAAGATCTTTTAATGTATTTATTTGTATCTTAAGCATTTCAAAGTACTAGTACTTCTCGGTTTGTTTTATTCATTTTAAAAAAAAACTGACAACCATTGGTTTATTGCATAATTGACGTAAATAGTTGTCTTTATGTTGAATGATTTTGCATGTATAATTATCCTTAATTGGAAATATGTGAATAAATTCATGGAAATAATATAAATTCCTCTTTTTTTTAAGCTATATACAACTCGGGCAGCTGACGTGTGGGTGGTGTAACCCCATTCCCCTTCTTTTTTAGACAGGATTACTTATCAAAAATACATGAATTCCTAGAATATTGAATATCAAGATCTTGATTTCTTATTTCATTGCCCATTTTTGTCAATTTTTAGAGATTGTCCCTCTAACGATATATCAAATACTATATATATATATATATATATAGGTAGAGGGACAATCTCAAAAACTTAAAAATGGCAAATATCAGAAATATATGATAGGAAGTAGGGAGTCAAATATTTTTGGTAAGTTATCGGAAATTAATAAAATTTTTAGAATTGTAAAAAAGGGGGGGGGGGTTACCATCATAAGTCAGGTGCATGTGATATATACAAGGGCAGTTTGGAGGCAGTCCCTTTATATACGTAACTATAATATGAACATTTTAAACGACTGTAGAGCTATATTTTTAAAACAAAAATACTTTTCAATTTTTTAACTACTTGCCTTCAAGAAGAATTTGCAGCGATCATGTAAGGACGACGTCATGATTTGGAAATTTTGTCTCGAAATGTAAGGATCCAAAATTTTTAAATACTTCAGCCCAAAAGTTCACTATTTCATGTTCACATGTATACATGTATATTTGAAATACTAGGAAGCAAATCAAATCAGGTATTGCTTTATTTCTTTCTTCAAGAAGACGACGTTAATTAAATTATAGCTCATGTAATTCTTTAAGTGTATAAAATACCAATGTTGACGTTGGTTACACAATCTATTAGAAATTGACCATTATCGTCAGTTTGCACGATCATCGAATGTATTGATTTATACATACAAAACAAAATATGTCAGTTACTGTTGTTACTGAGTAGAAGTTGAAAATAATTAAGTTACCGAATAGATACATGTTCATTGAAAAAAAAAATATTTACGTGAATTCATATTATTATACTTTTCGTTGATTTTAATCAGTAAGCGTTCTATTGCGTTTTCCTGTTGCGCCTTTATCTAGATCTTCATGTTTTAAACATTTAACTCCAGTAAAATTGGTTAAAAAACGAGCCAAGAGCGTTATTTTACAGTTATTTCATACCTAAAATGTTGAAGTGTAAATAATAAACTTTTAACATGTTTCATTTATTTATAATGTTTTAATTATTGGTAGTTAATTTAGTGCCCTTTTTATAAGGAAAGTAATTAAACATATTTTATTTTCTTTATATTATAACAAGTTTGTTTCAATCCTTTTCCGGAGGTGTTTGAAATAAAAACAAAAAAGCTGTTGTGCTGTAATGTTTTTAATCTATTTATGTCCATAAATTTAAAATTCGTGCTAGTGTTGAAATGCAATGTGAATGCATTATAGAAACCATATCAAAATTTTCATCAGTGTCATTTAATTTACTATTCTTTTTTCTGTTCCTCAATACTAGCATTAAGAACATTCGTCTATAAAATACTCAAGTCTTGTCAGATAGATTTACGATATGAAGCTAGTCTTTTGACTTTCAGATTTCAGTCTGACACCGCTCCCATTTCTAATAATAGATGAAATCTGCTGGACGACTATAATTTTTGGGTTGCATGAAGACAACTTTAATCATCTATCAGACCCGTAGCAACGGGGAGGGGGGGAACCTCTGGTAAAAAGCTGACAAGCAAAAAATAAAAGGAAACTGTCCAACTCTAAAATCCCATTTCTTTGGGGGGGGGGGGCTCGTTTGTACATTTTTTTTTTTGTCTTTCAAATGCTGAAATTTACCCATTTTCGACCGTACAGCGAAAAAGAGGGGGGAGGAAGCAACTTCCAAATCAAAATTTGCGTATTTAAAAAAACTCCGCAGAAGGCTATTCTAACAATAAGTGGAAGTCGGCGTCCCCCCCCCTCCCCCTCTGTCTATGGCTTCCAGATATATTTGTTTATTACTTTTATGTGATGTCCTTCACGTGCTTACACAAGGTTTTAATTATAGAGATGTTGCCTGCATTTGATGATATTTACCTTCATTTTCCTAATAAGATTTTAGGTATTATGTCAGTAATTTTCGAGAAAGCCATAGCTTAATCATCAATGGACATTTTCAGTGTAATTAACAACAAGGGATTACCTTTTTGTTAACTTTATGTTTAATTATCTTCTGTTATGTACATGTACTTAATTGTATTTATGTTATGCCCCCAGTGGGACCATGATTGGCAAGTAAAATCTATTCTATTCTATACTTTCCCCTGTGTATAACCAATAAGGAAGCCGGTCGCACACGGATTTCTATTTCTCATAATGCTGAAAACGAATACAGTGTTGTAAATTCTTCGAAATCAAAGAGGAAATCACCTTAAATTTCACGGTCGTTGCGTAATATTTTGAACTACGAAAGTCGAACCACGTGTTGCTCATACAGATTACGATTTTATAATTTCTTTAAATCAAAGATGTGTCCTCTATCTTCCAAGAAAAGCACACACATTTGTTGAAATAAATTAATAAAATCAATTGTTGACGTTGGTTACATGATCCATTTCATATTGACATTTCTCGTCAGCTCCCCAAAAGCTCACATCATTTATTGTTTTATACATACAAAATGTTACGTTCGATAGTTACATAACATATTGATATCGTTGACATCACTGTGCTTTAATCCCCCGGATAAGATTAATTATACCAAACAAAGTAAGCCGAGTAATTTCTTTGCAAGTGTTAAAGAAAAAAAAACATTAAAAAATGTCAAAAGAATGTTTTTGAATGTATTCCGTGTAAACTAATTATAAACATAGTATAGAAAACTATGTATATAATAAGACAAGTTGCGTAATTGGTCAAAATGACACAGCTAACGAAGAAATAATGTCATACAATGTATGTGAGCTAAATAATTACCACGATGAAAAATTCTCATATTATGAAACATACAGTATTTGATGGATAATCAAGAGAGTCCATTTATTTGAAACACTTATCAACAAATTTGTCTTTAATTGTCTTTAAAAAAAGGAAGAAAGAAAACTCGATATCAATCGTTTCTAATTATTACATGATTAAGTATGGACATATTTTTTGTCAATTAATTTAAGTTCTACTTCTTACAAGAAGCCTAAGATTTTTTTCTTTAATTTTTCCTTAGTACAACAAATATTTTCTGTTCATTTATTATTTATTTATTGCACTTTTTATAAGAAGAGTATTTAAATTATTTCATTTTTCCTTAATTAAAAAATATTGCAGTGTTTCTATATCTTATCGAAAGGGTTTTAATTTAAAACAATTGCTATGGGGAATTTCTAGCTAAACTTTTAAACTATCCATGCCGATAGCTAGGCTTAAGTAGTAGTGTGGATAAGCAATGCAAATGCCCTAACTATGAATGCACATGAAATATCATTTAGAAGTGTTCCTTAGTGCCGGATAGGTTACTGTTGTTCATTCGGTATCATGAACATTCGCATGTGAATACTAAATATATGTCTGAGTGACTTTGAAGTGGTTCTCATCTTTAAGGTGTCAAGATTTTTGTTAAGGTCTTCGGGTTCATATGCAATTTTGTCTGATTGTACACACATAGTACTTTTTTGGCATGATTTGAAGAAGAAAAGTTTTTCAAGGAAATTTAAACAAAGAAAGCAAAATATGAGTTATGATCTGAATGCATAAAAGTTTATGAAGAGAAGTTTTATATTATACGATTTATTTTTGTTCTTTCATTGACACGCTTGATTTAGAAAAGATCTTTTTTTTTCTTTTTACTGTCGATATACAATGAACAGGAAAACTGAGGACGCTATCCATTACATTAAATATGTGTTTACGTTTAAACTTTTAATCATAGTTTTAAGTGAGCTGAAATGAGTGCAAATCAATTCATTCTTTTAAAAAAAAATACAGTTGCTGTAATCTGGAAGCAATTCCTAAAGAGCATTTAGAACCAAAACACTCAGAATTAATCGGTAGTTGATTTCAATGATAAGTTTGTAGTTACCTTTATTGCATTGTTATGAGTTTGGAGTTTGGATACATGCATACTTTTAACATTTTGAGTTGATATCTTAAAAATATAATTAGATATTTTTATTTCATATATTAATCTGAAAGTTTATGGTTATTGCATATCTTATCAAATCTAAAAATGCGCAGGTTAGTATAATCAAATTTCCGTGTTTTGAACGGATTTATGCGTAAATTCTTTTACGTTCGACTTGCACTTTAAAATACCAACTAAATATGAACATCCTTTTTCTTCAAAACTATCGTTGATGATAAATTTTATACTTTCAGATTTTTCTTTTGTGATTTCAGTCCAAATGCCGGCGGTTTTGTGATCACTACACGAGCCTCTCTGCTGATGATAGAATCAGTTTTTTGACTGTACTTGCCAAACAGTACGGTGTCAATCAAGGTGCCGTTGTCCAGGTGGCTACAAGTGTTGTTAATGCTCAGGTAAAAGGGGTTACATCCAGCTTGTTAAAGTAAATAATGCGACTGAAACTTTTACAAATTTCATAAAATATTGGATGAATTATACTTTTCTTTAGAAAGATTTATTTCCTGTTTGTTTTATTTTTCTTTCATCTTTTGCTTTTCAAATTTTAAGGTTTTTCTCAATTAATAGCTAGAATTTTATGGAAACGTTCAAATAAAACTTTAAAAATTTTGAAAGAAATGAGTTTTACAGAGTATTGCAATTATGTGGTTTTACATAATCCTGTCACTGTCATTGCGCGTGAGATTGATTAATGCGGATTTTTATCTTATTCGTTTGAAGATTTGTTTTGTAGGGTCCAGAGGTACATGTAACATGCAGGGCCTCACGCTCTTAATTTTTCTTTTTTGGCTGGCTGAAATTAGTTCTACGTTTACCGTCACCTAAAAAACCTACGGTGGAGGAAGGAAAAATTAAACAAAGAAAGATTTCAAACAAATGAGTATTTACTCATTTACATGAACGAATATACTGTAAATATTTGTGCATCATGTAAGTGTATTGTTTAATGATCAATTTTAGTACAACTGTCAGTCTCAAATATACATCATACAGGTCCCAAAAGTCTATTTCTATGGAGTGAAGTTTTTAGTTGCTAAAAGTAAAAGCAGACCGGAATACAATCTTAAAAAATACCGTTTTTTTCCTCCCAAGGAGCTAGTTTATTTGAAACCTACGCAAGTGGCATTAAACATACAATTAATTTTGGACAGCCTTAGAAAAGTAAATCAGTTTTGAAAATTTATAACCGTATGCACTTTTGTTTTGTAAAAAAAATCCGCAACATAATCGAATCTATATTTAAATCATTTTTACTTCGATCACTAGGAGAGAGAAGCTTTGTTACTAATGACTGAGGAACGATTACGTCACACATTAATCCCGCAGTACCAGCAATTGTTCAGTAAGATTGGGAGAATCGAAGGGGGAGTGAAGTTCTTGGTGGACATGCGCGCAGATATTCTGGTAATTTCAAATACTTTAAAATAATTTTTGAAGGCAGGTACTCAATTTAGTTTAGAAAATATTAAAACCCTGTGAAGTCCTTCATTGAGAAGTCTGAGGGAAGAATCATTGCGTTTTATACTAGTATATTGATTTATCATCAGCACTCATGAATAACAAAATCCTAAGTATTTTAGATTGATATGTATTAATTAGTTAACATGAAAATATTAATAATATAATGTATAGATTGACAGTGGATAAGAAAAACATATTTTTGATACAGATAAATTTTATTTTCAGACACACTTGCCAGGTGCTCAAAGTGAGGAGTATAAGGCGCACATGCGCATTCTACAGCAGACCATCAGAGACCTTCTGGCTCTATGGTTTTCTGTTGGTTTTCTTCATCTCCAGAGAATCACGTGGCAGAGCCCATGTGATATGGTTCAAAAGGTTAACAAAAAAAATCTGATAATCTTGATACAAAAAGAAAGTCAAATTGAAAGAATGCATTAAGCAGTAAATTTGATTACACATTTTCAGCAATATGTATTTTTTTTTTCAAATGACAAAAGAGTATTCAAGACCATACGTTCAATTAATGATTTTGGGATTTTTAAAAAACGTGATTTAAGTTAAAATATACTCTCATGATTTACACGAATGTTGTTAAACAAAGTTTTCAGGAAAATTTGTTATTAATTTTTCGAACCTTGAATGTCCACACGTAACACGTAGGGTATAAACAAAATTTTCTGGATGATCACACTGAAACCAGCTTTAAATTCTTTTGTTATAGAAAGAGCCATAGCTGCCTTACCGACGACACGGCCGACTCAAGAATTTTTAAGGAAATCACCTGTTTCTATTTATAGATATATCTTTTCAATTCAAGATCAAATTATGTAATATCATTTGTGGACAAGTGTTAGTTGCAAGTATGTCAAATGACTGTTCAGTACTCTAATTTTGAGACAAAAGATTTAGAAAATCATGCAATAAAAATAAAACAAGTAGGCCTAGCTATAAATTTGCAAAATTTAATAAAATATTTTAGGACCGTCTTTTCCCGAGATACTTTCAAAGTGTAATGTGTATATTATAACTTTCTGAAATTATGTATATTATAAAACATAATAAAGAAAACGTAGAAAAGATACACAAAGAAAAAAATGAAAAGGCATAATTGGAAAAATATGGGGGCTCGAACTCACAAACACCACATTCACAGTCCAGCAATCATACCACTGCGCCAACGAAGTCATTGATGTCAAATGGATAAATTTAAGACAGATTGCTAAATCTTAAGATAATATGAGAAGAAAAATTGAATATATATTTTCATAATTTTCAATATGAAGACCACCTTTGACCAAAATTATCTAAATGTACTGAAGTGCAGTCATATCCAAATAGAAGTATTCAAAAGTTGTTTTTCTGGTTAAGGGTGGCCTTTGGCAACAGTTTGTCATCGTTAGGTGGATACCTCAACATTTACTATATACTCCATACAAACTGGATAATTTTCATATTTATCATATGAGGGAACAATTAACATAGAAATATCATATTGTGTGATTTGGTTTTACGCATATATAGACTAAGATTGTATGACAAAATTTTGGTTAAGCCATGCAATCAAGAAATCACTGCTAATAAAGTAAGCGAAAATGCCTATTAAATGCGCTATGGCTCTTTTTCTATAAACGGACTTCAGCAAATGTTTACACTTTACTCTGATTCCACATATGCTAGTAACCAGAACTGCCATCTTCGCCATACTTATTTTTAGCTCTACTGATCAGAGACTAGAAGAGTTTATTATCTAGAAGGAAAATACTTTAATCCGAAGTATTTTTCTCTACCGAAATAAATGCATAATTACGGATCATATCACTTAAATGATTACAAGAGTATATAATTTCTTCAGAGTTCTCATTCTTTGCAGTCCGTTTGGTTGTTTTTTTAGATTAAGCATTTACTTTCATTAATGTACACTGTACTTAGTTACCTTGTGTAACTAATAAATCAACACTGAAGAGATTTTTATACTATGTATTTTCAGAGAACATAATTAGTAATTTAGAAACTAACTAGAAACTATTTCAATATATTTATCTCACACTGACTGTCTTTTTAAAGATAATCAACAAACATCACCTTAACAGAAAATATAAATACCAGATCAAATATTTGTACCTAAAGCATAATGTCGAATTAATTTAATTACTAAGCATGCAGACCTAAACGGATGTTATGGCTTACTAGAATTATGAAATTTAACAACAGTAGAAAAAAAAATTCTTTGAAATAAATTTTCTTTTGTTATTTTTCCATTGTATAAAACATTATTCATGTGTTTCAGGATAGTCAATTTTCGAATTATTTTTGATTCCAGATTTCGATGTATGAGGCAGTCCATCCTATACGGGATATGAACGACCTTAAGCGTCGTGTGGGGTCTTACCGCCGCTGTTTTGTGTTCACTCACCGCAGTATGCCAGGAGAACCTGTTGTGGTCCTGCATACAGCACTCACCAATAGTATTTCTAGTAGCATCCATGTAAGTACTTCGAAGACTAACAGCTATTCTTGTTAAAACTTAAGTATAATGAATGTCAATTTCTCAGTGCTGCTATATAATTAGAAATCGTCGCCCGCGTGGCGCAGTGGTTAGAGCGTTTGCTCTAGAGTCGCGGAGTAAGGAGTTGATTCGTACGTCGCGGGTTCGAATCCCACTGTGGGACGTGGAGACCTGTCCTTAATTGGATGAGACCGTATAAACCGAGGTTCTGTGTCGCAGTAGGTGCTGGCACGAAAATGATCCCTTACAGCTCAATGGCCCTGAGTGTCGAGTATAGGTCGAAATTTGCAGTTCTCCACTGGCAAGTGGTGGCGTCTCCATATGAGTGAAAAATTCTCGAGAGGGACGTTAAACAACAAACAAAACCAAAAAAAAATTAGAAATCAACTTCGAATGCGTATGTGACTTTTGGATATAGCATTTCATTCATTTAAATGAGGAATCTTATTAACCTTTTTAAAGCTGAGTGCAATAAAATTTTGAACTAAATGTGTAGTGGTTTTAGGAAATGAACATATTCCCCTAATATTATTAGAGAGTGATGTAAAATATGACAGTCGGTATTATTTCACATGGTAAAATTAGGTATTGTCCTCTTAAGATTCTCTATTTTAATGATTTTAATTATGCTAAAAACTTAAGGACCCTCTATACACTAGAGAAAAAATATTTTTTGGACATTGAGAAAATTATAGTGTGTAAAGGTGTAAGTATTGAGCTTATCTATCACATTTTCAATACAGGGTGCCTTGCATTTACCCCCAGGAAAAATGTTCAAAGACAATGAAGTACTGATGAACAGAAATCACTGTTGTTTACTTAAGTGGGCAAAATATCTGCAAATGAAGTGTTCTATCTATTCATCTTGGCCTATTAAAGTGTTATGAATATTTGATATGATCACAAATTAAGTAATAAACTGTACATTCAATTTATTTTATTCATGACCAAAGGGCAGATCACTCTATTTGCATAAAAATACCAAAAAATCTTAACTCTCTAGTGTGCAGTCTATAGAGGGCTCTTAAAGAGTGAAATAAAAAAAATGACCGGATACATAATTTTCAGCCTGCACTAAAAGTCAGACAATGTTAATAAATTCTACAGCTCTGAATAGTTTTTTTTGATACTGGCTAATATCTCATTGATATCTTAAAACACAAAAAGTTATGCCCAAAAATGATGTTAAAAATGTCAGGATTGCAACACTTTTTTGTGAAATTTGAAAATTTCATATTTTTTAAAGATCTGTTAAATAAATAATAATGATTTATATTAGAAATAAAGATTTCTCGATAAAATTCAATGTACTGAGTATTGAGCTTAAAATTTAGATTGTAGTTACTTTTGCTTGCCCCATGCAAGTTATGGTCACGGCTGATGCTGAAAAAAATGTTTTACCATGTCAGGAGTGCAACAGAAAAAAAATTCAATGATGCCAAAAACATTGATTTTAAAAATCTGTTTGACAAGTAAGTCATAAAAAAAATTGCCAAAGTGTAAAGCAGTAACTGATATACTATTTAAAGGTTTAAAATGTTATATGAGTCACAAGCAGCATTAATGAGAGTAAAGTATCTGTGCAGACCCATAAATTTATGTTATGAGTGGAACATTTGATGTTTTGCTTCCCAACTTGGAAAAACTTTTATCAGTATATAATAATTTTTGCTTTTTTTTAAGATAAAGACAAAAGAGTGGTTTGAGCGTCTGCTCTAGAGTCGCGAAGTAAGGAGTTGATCCTTACGTCTCGGGTTCGAATCCCACTGTGGGTCGTGGAGACCGGTCCTTCGGATGAGACCGTATAAACCGAGGTCCCGTGTCGCAGTAGGTGCTGGCACGAAAAAGATCCCTCACTGCTCAATGGCCGTAAGTGCCGAGTATAGGACAAAATTTGCAGCTCTCCACCGGCAAGTGGTGGCGTCCCCATATGAGTGAAAAATTCTCGAGAGGGACGTTAAACAACATACAGGGTGTTTCGTTATATATGTTACATTTTTAAGTCTAACAAACAAACAAAACAAAAGAAACATTTTACCAAATAAATCTATCATTTACAGGATCGCGCCTGTGATCTGTCTGTGTTTCAGATCAATATTTCCACGGCCAGGAGAGCAACACATTTCATTTTTTTCACAATATAATTCACGAAAACATTTTTTATTCATTGTGAGGGCAATTTTAGCTAAATTTCAATAATTTTTTCAATGCTGCAACTTTTTTCTTCAAATTTTCTTTTCCTGTTGCACTAAGATGCTGGGCAAAATACGATACATTAATCATTGTGAAAATTCATGAAATCATCAAGTTTAAAATTCTATCATCTCAAAATACTATTATAATTATTTTCAATTTTGCATTTCATGTGTGATATCACTGCACTCCTACAGATAGAATTTTTTTTCAATTTTGTGAAGAAACTACAAACAATTCAGCATTTTATGTTTTTTTGTATCCATAAAAATGAGCTACATTATGAACGAATAGGTAATGTTGCAATAATTTCTTTTCAAAACGGTGATTTGAATGAAATATGAAGCGAAAACATAAAATGATGACTCACTTTTTTCCAAATACTGTAGACGTACTACGTTATTTTTATTAAATTTTTTCTCGTTCAATAATTCAAAGGAAAGACGTTTATTAAGGTATGAAGAAAGTACATACGCTTCGGGTAAAGAAGTACGTACTTGTTGGATGGAAAAGTACATATTTGTCGGGTGGAAATGTACACTGTACGTACGTGTCGGGTAAAAAAAAAGTATTAACGTGTCCTATGGAAAAGTACATAGGTGTCAGGTGGAAACGAGGTTTTTGTTCTATAAAAAATTAAAAGAATTTGGCACTTGAGAAATAAAATGACGTTGTAACTGGACTTTCAATAGAATGAATTGTGCTTTAAGGTAAATTCGTAATAATTAAAATACGCGATTGTACTGATTTTTAAGAAGTATTTAATAAAATTTTTATTTAGAGAAACAAAGTTTAATATTTCAGCCCGTGTACTGCCTATCTGGAAACTACAAAAGATACAAAGTGCAATGTCAAAGTTATACATTCTACCAACATTAGCTATTATTAAAATTTCAACAGACTTATATATATATATAAATAAATATATATATATATATATATATATATATATATATATATATATATATATATATATATATATATATATATATATATATATATATATGAATCACAAAAAATAACAACTCCTAGAAATGATTAAAATCCTTTTAAATGTCATCTGCTTGTTTATAAAAGCTTCGAAATTGCTCTAAGGTAGTAAGGCGTATAGACAAATCAAATGGCCTTTTTCTTGGAACTCGCAGCACGCACTTTCCTAATAAACTAAGATACAAACCAATAATTTATATTTTAATTGTTGTTTATTTCTCATTTGCGGTTGAAATTTTGGTTGAGAATTTATAGACGAAAATGGAATGCTGTTATGAAAGACAGCAATTACTCGTATGTTTTTATTCATAAATATTTTTTAAAAATCGGTCCTTTAAGAAGATGCGATAAGTTGACGACAGTGTTTAAATATGTTTGTTTTTACAGTCTATATTGAAAACGCCTACTTTCTCTGGATCAAAAATGGAAACTGATTCTTCAAACGACGGAGATGTGGACGAAAAGGAGGATCCTAATAAGATATCGGCAGCTATATTTTACTCCATCACTTCAACACAAAAAGGTAAATCATAAAATTTATAGGGAGCTACATGTATATTTTACTCCATCGCTTCAGCACAAGAGGTGCATCATAATATTTTACTTTTATATTGAAACACAAAAGGATGGAGTTTTTTTTTTAAAGAGAGAGAAAGTGAGAAATTTAAACAGCTGGTTCCATATGTTCCATTGGGTAACTATTTTATTTCATTGGCCAGAGACCATAGGAGCTTTTGCATTTGAAATGTCCTTCATCCGTCAGTCTGTCTGTTATGCTGGGTACACTTTTTAAAACTTCACTCCTATAATGATCATGTACATTGTATGCTCAATAAGATTTTATCAACAGACATCATTCAGTATATTAAGTTTTGCGTTTGATAAATAGTGTTGTCACGTCACTAAAATATAAAAAAAGATGGGAAATTCCCTTTAAACTTCCTCGTATTATTTTAGTCTGATTTCAGTTGAAAAGCGGTACATTACGTGTGGTAAACCATATTTAGATACACGATTTGCCGTGATCATCAAATAGAGAGATTTGAGAAATTATTTCAGAATGCTACTTAGTTGTTTTTGTCTGATTTCAATCAAACCTGGTATTTTTATTCTACAATGAGATTTATTATTCCTTTTCGTTTAAATGAATATTAATACTATGGTAACTGAAAATTTAAATTCTTTCATGCTTCACTTCTAACAGTTTTGTTCTGATTTCAGTCAAGATTACATACATGTAGATTTTGTCAAATTGCATTCCTTTTTTTATCAAATCTTTTAGTTAAAAGATTTTGTTACGATGAAATAAAACAATCTGTAGAATTATTATGTTAAATTATTTCAAAATGACATCTGGTTTTTTTTTTCTGTTCTGATTTCAAAATAATTTGGAATATATTAAATACATAGAGGATATTCAATGTTTTGTAGATGAATATGAAATTTATTTCACGAGTGGGACAGGATTTTTTTTATATATTTTCACGAGTGCGAAGCACGAGTGAAAATATCAAAAAATCCTGTCTCACGAGTGAAATAAATTCCATATTCATCTACAAAACATTGAATTTTCTGTTTATTACATTTTCTTTGATTTTCGTTTGCCTCTGTCTTTTCTTAACACATTGTCATAGCTAGGCTAGACGTCATATTTGAGCGGATGAGACGTCATAGCTTAGCAGTTGTGAGATTGAAAACATTACCTAGCATGGATTTTAGCAACATATTTGGGAAGAAATTTGCAGTTTTAGCTCTATGAAGATGTTTAATTACTATCTCTATCTTATGACAGGCCAGAAATTATTTTTTACTTACTTTGATATCCTTTCACACTGTGAGAGAATATCATTTTGGTATCCTTTCACACTGTGAGAGAATATCACTTTTATTCAATAAATAAATCACAGTATTTCACTGTTGAAAATGTAATAAATTGATATACACTGTGCCAAGTTTATCAACTATTGATTCTATTGAACATTGTTATCATTATTTATGAAAATAACAGACTTTCTAAAGATAAAATTAAATGATATTCCTCCAAACATATTTTGTGGGATTTCGAAAATAGGCACGAAAATTGACTCCAAGATTAGTAATTCTGATTGTCGAAAATTTAACTTCGATGGACTATGTTCCCATGGTTACTTTAAATAGAATAATCTGTTCTCTCAAATTGCCAGTCAGTCTTTGTTATTAAGTTAAAAACCAGTAAAGCTACAATCTCATTAGAGACTCGAGGTTCTTTGCCCTTCAGTTTGGTGTTAGTTACTGTTAGGTGGAAGCTCTTTGTTCTCAGGGATTTACAATTCAATAACTAACAGCTTTAATTAAGTTGACTTACGATGTCATACTTTCCGATGACTAATGTCTCTGTCAGTGAAAATACCTTTTAAACTAGACAATTCTTGTCGGCTTTTCGATACCTAACATCCTTATTAGTCAGGAGCCCTTCAGCTCGTCTTATTTAATGAAACATCAAGTCAGTCTGGAATTATAAAATTAACCTTATTTTTTTTTCTAGGTCTGCAGGGAGTCGACCTGGGTAATTACCTGATTAAGACCGTTGTCAAGGAAGTACAGAACGAATTTAAGGGCATTACTCAATTTTCTAGCCTGTCTCCAATTCCAGGCTTCAAGACATGGCTAATTACAGAAATCAACAGGATAATACACATGCAAGGTATTTTCCGGTCTTGGCCCAATTATGCTTAGATATTTTCTTTTATAAAAGAAGCACATTAACATTTAAGGTTTATTGACCCTCTTATAAGAGAGATAAATCTTACTTTTGGGAAATGACTTTTATTCTCTTTAAAAATGTCAAGTTAAAAGGCAGCTGTCAAAATTTGCACCGCAAGGTGTGATGAAATTATCAATTATAATTTAAATTTCTTTTGGAAAGTCATTATTTTGAAATCAAAATCTTATATGAGTGGATAAAGAGACGACTTTATTTTTTTTTTTAACGTGTTTAGTAATAGATTTCAGTGTGTTGAAAATGCTACACTATATGAAATCTCTTTTTTATTCAATTTCTACAGAAATAGGCGAACAGCATCCAGAGCTTCTCTTAGAAAAAGAAATCGAGGTGTTGAGAAATGCACTGTCAATTCCAGACCATAGTGTTCTTAAAACTTTAAAAGATTTAGTACAAACCCATGGATGGATACAAAATGAAAGTATTTCTGAAATGATTAAAGGAATTTTATTAAGGCTGTGTGGACGATATTTATTTATTGAAAAGCGAAGAGGATTCGCCCTTAACCCTGTGGGTATGTAAATTAATCGACGTGTAATTTAAGTATATTACATACATGTATATGCATATTTAGTCTGAAATTTGGACTTTTTGAACTATGTTTCTTTTAATTAGACCTTCTTTTTTTTTGAAAATTAAATTAAGTTTATAAAAGTATTTTTTCGTGGAATTTTAAAGTCAGTACTTGTCAATGCCGATTTATATGTTGGATACTAGTATACGTATTTTGTGAAACTATCTTCTAATTTTTAACCAGAGATCCAAGAATGCTTTGTCACTGTTCTTATACAATTATTTATTCATTGATGGTGGTTTCAATGCATCAAGTGTGATATCAGTTTCTATTTGATGACAGATGGGTTTTTTGACATATATTAAAGATTTTCTGAGAAGAATGAATATTATAACCTTCATTAATTTTCTTTTATTTGACACTATCCAATAAAAATACTTAATTTTATTCTGTGTTTATTAATTTCTAGCTAATTTCCATCTGGGCAACGGGGCAGTTTTATGGCGTTTGAACTGGAAGGCAGACATGTCAATGCGTGGGATCAACCAATCCTGTGGGATGATGGTAAACTACCGCTATTATCTGGAAAATACAGAAGAAAATAGCCAAAAGTATCTAGAAAACCAGACAATAACAGCATCCCCAGATTTCTTACAACTGGTTGAGAATGGAAAATAAAATCTTTATTTTGCATTTATAATTCTTTTGAATGGGCTAAGAAAAGCATTTAAGATGTTTGAAATATTGGACTGCATTACGTTGAATTTAATTATTGTGAAATATGTAAAAATGATCTCGAGTATGTATGCATATTAATAATGTTTGTTGTTTAATTTTTTTCACTAGCATTCATGTACTATAGTTTGATTATATATTAGGTTTTCAAGTAGAAGGCCAGTACCATTAAAATTTAGTGGATGGACACAAGGAGTCTTTTATTATTGTTATCATGATCATTATTATTATTATATAAGTGTGTGTTTGTGTATGTAGAGTGAGAGAGAATAGTTCAAATGAAATGCAAAGATAACAGTCTGTAACCATACTCGAAAGTCCAAGTAAACATTAAACTTGAGAGCACTGCAAGCACGAACCCCTGACAAAGCAGAGTCGGGATTTGGTGCCATGGAGGAGGAAGCTTTCCCTGTCGACCAGTCACACCCACCGCGAGTCCCTTGTCATGATCGAGTAAACAGAGAAATTTGTAGACAGTTCGAGTATGAAAATAATGCCTTGAAACCCCACAATCATCTCTTTAATTGGCAGAACGAAATGCTTAATAGATAAGATACTAACTTAATAAGTATTACATGTAATTAAGAATTATTTCATTTGTTTTACTCAACAGATATCAGTTATAATATAATCCATTATTTAGGGCTAATGCTCAATTATACAATTTCTTAAACTTGCTATTGAACTGAGGCACTGCGTGAGACAAAGGTTTATTTATATGTTTAGGTATACCCTCAACAATTTGCAAGAACATTTATCATCGGGTCATAGGCAAAGATATTGACATCAAGTAACAAGGATGGTTTACAGCTTAATATCAGATTGAAGTGTTTTCCCAGCTTTCTGTTCCTGAGATATAAGATGCACTTGGATAAAAACGTGACGTCATAACTCTTCACCTGTCAATTATAAAATCATTCATATTTTTGAATCTCCCACATTAATGTGTAGTTCACACTTTACATCTATTCAATGAGTGAAATATTTTTCACTTTTTGGGCAGGAATATTATTTAAGGTTCAATATATCTTTTTTAAAATGCAAACTTTTACAGCATTTCTTTAATCTGCCAACTAAAGTCTTTGTAATATTTCAGCTTTCAAATATGCTATTTCAGCTTGCAAGTATGCATTGTAATTTCTGACCTCGCATATATTTTTGTATTTTGGCCGTAATCAAATTATACTGTATTAGGCGTTAGGTTAGAATTAAGTAACGTATGTCCAATATTATGCCATTCCTTTTTCTTCAATTAAAAAAAAATTGAATGATTCTTAAGATAATTTGTGAACAACTGAAAACTTTAATGATGACTAAAGAGTATGTCGGAAATCCTAACACTGTAAACAACGCAATTTATTTGAAAAGATTACTCAACTTATTTTAATCTACGGATGTGAAGACTGCGGATTGTCAGACAAGGATATCAGTTGAAAGGTTGGTTTTGAATTTCTTCTTCATTTGAAACTACTACTGTTTTAATGCTTTACAGTGAATCTGGTATTATCCATTCAGAATTCAACCATACTAGTAGTACGATAAATAAATAAGTAAATACCAAAACCATGAAAACGCACTGCTCAAAAGTTGAGCGTTGGAAAAGAAACAAAATATTTTACAAATTAAGACCGCGGAACATTAACTGGCAAAATTGGCAATATACAGCTTACTTCATTTCTATCTGTTGCAGCCAAAACATTTAATGATAGACATTGAAATGGGCGGGTACAATTCGACACGGACGTCCGTGAAAACATTGGATTGAAATTCTAGTTTGAAATTCATTTTCAATCCACCCGAGTTGTTTTCAAACGAAAAGTATGAATGTATGATCCAAAAGACAAATAATTCAATTCCCAAATACATGTTGTTTGAAATTCAAATTTAGATAAGTTTTTTAGCCTACAATTTTAAGGACACGTAAAATTCATAGAAGATGGAGATTATTTTTTCGGGGGATGGCCGGGGGGGGGGGCAAAAATCGTCGAGTCAGATCATGCCTTCACATGACAAAATATATTCAGTTCTAGGATGACAAGAGTTCTTTTCTTCAAAAATGTTTGACAATTAAAAACAGGGAGGGGTTGTCCAAACTAGAATAAGCTTTTATTTCCAAGATCGTACAGCTCCCCCCCCCCCCAACACACGCATGCACATACCAAACAGGAATCAAATGTTTGTCCCTTTTTATTTCTTTAAAAACACTGGACAGAAATTCTGATTTATATAAATTTCCGAAATTGAAATTATTTGTCTTCTGGGTGAATCAGAAACACCGTGATTCTAGCATAGCTGAGGTGGATTGAAATTCAAACTAGAATTTCAGTCCAATGTTTTCTTGGACGTTCGTGCCGAATTGTACCCGCCCATTCCAATTTCTAACATTAAATGTTTTGATTGTAACAGATGGAAATGACGTAAGCTGCATATTTCCAATTTTGCCGGTCAATGTTCCGCGGTCTTAAGTCATATTTGGAATCAGGATTTATGGACAAAATATGATCAGAATGAAAAATGTCAAACATATTTAAATCATCATAGAAGTGCAAACGTTTCTTATAGTCAAACTTCAGTAAACCCAAATCGATAAAATCTCAGTTATTATTAAATTATCTTTTAACAAGGCGGTTTGAACAAAAGTTGCATTCAAACCTAACCCAAGTCATCAAATAGACTTTTCAAAGAATAAAGATAACTTGAGTCAAGGTCATGCCACATTCTAAGGTTATAAGCAATCTTGTAAGGGGTATCAACTTGCAATGTCTCACCAGTAGAAAGACAGTTAAGGAATGTTGTTTCTCCGTTGATGACCTTGAACTCGTTCAAATGACCTTGCATCAAACCATGACACACTCTGGTTATAAGAAAACCCCATCTATGTGTTACCGACTCGACAAGTTAACACATGTTCTTTCAGACCATTCATCCAGTCAAAACATTCTTTCCTTAGTGACCCTAAATTTAATCAACATGGCCGTAGGAACCGAGGGGGGCGTGCCCCCCCCCAATAATTTTGCCGATATGTAGATTACTATAGTAGACATAGATACTATAGCTTGTGCCACCTCAATAAAAACGTCTGATAACCTTCTTTTTTTTTTTTTGCTTGTCAAGGAATTTTTGGTAGTTGGTGACCTTTTTTTTTTTTGCTTGTCAGGAAATTTATGGTAGTAGTGCCCCCTCAACTGTCAACTGAAAATGTATGGCTGTGCCCCTCCCCCCCCCCCCAAAAAAAAAACTGAATTTGCTTCCTATGGGCCTGATCAAGGCAATGATACACTCTGTATGATATCAGCGATACCCTTTTGTGTGTTTCGGACTTGACAAGTTCACAGTTTGCATTTATTGCATGATAGTGAGGGAGACATGAAGATTTCTTCGCCCATAAAAAATCATATTCCGCGAGGGCAACATGAAGATTTCTTCGCCCATGAAAAATCATACTCCCCGAAGGCAACGCCCGAGGGAAATATGATTTTTCATTTGCGAAGAAGAAATCTTTATGTCTCTATTATGCAATAAATTGTTTATAATACCGAATTAACCAAAATGCAGGAATTACAAAGGATATCCAATGAATAAAGCAAACATGCATTTGATGAGAACGATATGAAAGAGATGTAAGTTACAGGTACACCAATAGCCTCGTTTCATTAAAAAAAAATTCCTACGTGACAAGTTTGTGTGATCACACCAGTAACATTCAAACACCATTACATTTTTACACATTTAAATCGACACAATCAATCAACGATAATATGTTGACGGTGCGACCGTTGGGCGAGTGCATTGTTCACTTAATTTTAAGATCCGCCTATTCAAACAGCACGAGACATTTGGAACGTCTAGACTGTGACGTCTCATGACGTATATTAGCTGTACTTCCATAAAGGAATTTTGAAAAGTGCAAACATTTTAACAAAGAATGTTTAATCTACTATCTGTATGCAATTCCATTAATTAAGGTGATTTTTTGGGGTGAATTTTTAGTTGTTGTTACCGCGCGAACGAAGTTAGCAGCATCGCTATAAACAATCTAACTCCTCACTCGTTTAATTGTGACGTCACAATCGTGAAACACGACGTTTTGTTGCAGGGCAAATATGATGGACACGTGACTTTCTCGGCCAATCAAATTCTATTTTACTAGTGATTTTTCACTTGTAAGCTAGTTTTCACAGAGGTATAATAAACGTTTTTTTAGACCATACATCGAAATAAATTATCATAATTTCTATAGTCGTAATTTATTAGGTTCAACTCACTGCTTTAAAGGATCATTGTAAATGTTTTATGCCCGATTTGGATACTGAACAACGTGTGATTTTTGAAACACTGATGCCCCCATATGGCATCTTATGGCAAAAGTTAAAGTTTCTCAAATGCAAGTCAAACTCCATGGTCAAGATCAAAAGATAAAATGTTATTACCCAAATAAAGGTCTTGAACAAAGAATATACTGTGAAATATATACTAGTATGAAAGCCACAGCAGCAACAGTTCAAAAGTTATTGCCAAGGTTAATTTCTTTAAAAGGTCAAACTCCAAGGTCAAGGGATCATAATTGTTTGTACTTGAGGGAAGGTCTTAATTGTTACAAGGAATACACATATGGTTTTAAAAAAGCCTTAGCACCAACTGTTCAAAAGTTAAAACCAAGGTTTAAGTTTTTCAAAAGTAGGACATACTCAAAGGTCAAGGTAAAATGGTCAAAATTAAAGGTATACAATGACAGGCCTTGTCACAAGAAAATTACCTATGTAATATAAAAGCCTTAGTACTAGTCATTCAAAAGTTATTGTCAAGGCTAAAGTTGTTTAAAAGTTGGTCAAACTCCAAGATCAAGGTCAAATGGTCAAACATATTTATACCCAAGGAGGAGACTTATCACAAGGGATACAGATGTGAAGTATAAAAGCCATAGCACCAACTGTTCAAAAGTTTTGGCCAAGGTTATAGTTTGGTAAAATTTTACGAAAGAGGATCAAACTCCAAGTTCAAGGTCAAGAGGTCAAATATGTTGGTACCTGAAGGAAGTCCTTGTTACTGGAATACACATAAGAAATATGAAAGCAGTAGTTCCAACCAATCAAATTTTATGGGCATAGTTTTTTTCGGACAAAGAGGCTAACACAGTCTAACAGACAAATAGATAGGTGGACAGGACAAAAACTGTATGCCCCCCGGATCTT